AACATCCTCTCTAAGCAGAAATATCAGGACAATTAGGAAATTTGTTAAAATTCACTTTAGTATGACATCCTTCAAAAATATCTGTTGTCAGCACATAATCTGTTATATATATCCCGAGACCAATAAAAAGAAGAGAGAAACAGAAAATAAAAATTTTTCCATTTTTCTTGGTACAGGAACTCCAAGATCCTGTTTTCAAAGTAATCAAATATAAATATCCTTCACATCTGACCACCTAATATTAGCTATTCTTAAGGATAATCTAGAATCTCTCTAGTTCATAAAGACCAAACTTGTCAGGAATTAATCAAATGTAATCTTATTCATTACCATTATTTACTGTTATGCACTGTTTTTTCTGCTACTTACAAAGCAAATAACCTTGTGTCATTCTTAATAAGCCCTTTAGATGTTTTATTCATTTTTTTCCTTTAATGACTCTCAACTTAATGCTTTAAATGTAATACACAGTAATTAAACTTTGATTTCCCAAGTACAGATCAAGACTCACCAATTATACTCTCAGAAACTTTTTGAAATAATCTGGAAAATTTCCTCCAGAAGAACTGTGGAGGCCAGGTGATCTTTATAAGCAGTTTTCTACCAGATATTTAAGGAAAAGGTCATTTCTATGCAACTTAAACTGCTCCGGAATGAAAGAGAAGATGAAACACTTCCTAGACCATTTATAAAGTCAGTATGACACAGCAATAAAGCTGATAAATAGATACCCGAAATAAATAGTAAATTCCACTGGTACCACAGAGTGATGATGAAAAATGACCTTGCTTAGAAACTTACTGGTTTTATTTCTTTAGGAACATTATTTAACTTTTCTATAATCATTAATTTTATTCACAATAATATAATAAATAAAAATGGCATGACCTGATAATATAGAATTATTTTATATTCAATAAAAATAATGTTGCTTAACACCAGGAGAATTACTACATAACTTAGAGGCCAGCCGGGTATTCTAGGGGAAAGGACAATTCAGATAGAAAGGGGAACACCAAGTGGAGGGTGTTTGGAGGATCCTCCCAGGAGGGGAGATGCAGGTTGAAAGTAGACTGGACTGAACATGTTCGCCACTCAATGCCTCTTTGGCTGATCACAGCGCCCAGGAGGAGAGAGAGAACAGGGGGGAATGCCCTGCCACAGTGGCAGGGGGGGATGGGGGGATGGGAGGATGGGGGGGGAGGGATATTATCCTGGTGGTGGAAACTGGGCACTGGTGGAGGGATGGGTATTTGATCGTGGTATGACCGAGATCCAAGCACAAAAATTTGTAAATCTACAACTGTACCTCATGGTGTTTCACTAATAATAATAAAAAAAAATAATGTTGCTTACTTTACTATTTGTTTGACCCTATTCTAAGACCTTGTATGGACTGACATCTATTCTCCACAACAACCCTGAGGTAGTATTATTCTAAATTTTACCTGTGAAGTAAAACTTAAAGCAAGAAGAGTAAATAGTCACATAATTTATATATGGTAGAGATGGGATCTGAACCCAGGAAGTCTGGCTCTAAATTTCAATCTACAAACAGCTCCTCTAGTTATTAGTAACATTTCATTAACATTACATTTCATTCATTAACATTACATTTCATTAACATAGAATATAAAGAACAAGGGAAAGAACAAAAAAATTCCTTTGGCTGGGTGAAAACCATTCTAAAATTGAGTATCTATATTGAACCAAATGTTAATATTCAGCTTAAATCAGAAATTATGTTAAAATCACAAATAAGATCAAAGCATTTGCACAGATTAAAATTAGTTGACATTCTTTTTTTTTTTTTTTTTGGTTCACACCTGACAATGTATAGGCATTACTCCTGACTCCGTACTCAGGAATTACTCCTGGCAGTGCTCACGGGACCATATGGGATGCTGGGGATTGAACCTGGGTCAGTCCTATGCAAAGCAAATACTCTACCCTGCTGTACTATTGCTCCAGTCCCCTAGTTGGAAGTCTTATGATTGTTCTAGATAATGTCACTGTCCTCCCGTTGTTCATCGATTTGATCCAGCGGGCCCAGTAACGTCTCCATTGGAGACTTTGTTGTTACTGTGTTTGGCATATTGAATACGTCATGGGGAGCTTGCCAGGCTCTGCCGTGCAGACGAGAGACTCTCGGTAGCTTGCCGGGCTCTCCGAGAGGGGCAGAGGAATCGAACTTGGGTCGGCCATGTTCGCTGCGTGCAAGGCAAATGCCCTACCGCTGTGCTATCGCTCCAGCCCAGATAATGACTAAAGCATAAAAATAAATATTTAAAAATAGGAAAGAGGGGAATTGATATTTTTGGCCACATCTGGTGGTGCTCAGAGCTTACTCATGGCTCTGCACTCAGGAATCACTCCTGATGGGGATCAGGAGACCATATGTGGTGCTGAGCATGCAAGAAAAATGTGCTACCAACTGTACTGTCACTCTGGCCCTTTGGGAGAAAAGGTGTGGACTGATTCTGAATCTAAAATAATTAAGAAACCAGGAGGTATTTTCAGGGGTAGATGCCTTATATGCACAAGGCACAGCGTTTGATCCCAACACTTCATCTTCCCCCAAGCACCACCTGGTAGGGGGTGGGGGAGAGAGTGGTCCTGACAGCCTCGGGACCACTGGGTTCAAGGAGCACAACAAGACTAAACTGGAACTTTGTGACCAGTGTCTTTCTGAGCACTGCTTGGAGGCCCTCTGAGTAAAATCAAATAATAAAAGAATCGAGGTAATTACTCAAGACACAAAATAGTTGTGAAAATGGGTTTATCTCTCTTCTTTTTCATTATTTGCATATAGAAATGCCATGGATTTCTGTGTCTTGATTTTGTAGACTGCCACATTAATGTACAGGTTTATTGTTTCTACTTAGGGTTTGGTTGTTGTTGTTGCTTGTCTTTAGGGTTTTCTTAGTATCATGTTATCTGAAAACAGTGACAGTTTGACTTCTTCTTTTTCCAATCTGAATGCTCTTGCTATTTTCTTGCCAAATTTCCAGACCCAGGACTTCTGATACTATTTTGAATGACAGTGGTAAGAGTGGGGAAACTTGTCTTGTGAATGACCTCAGAGAGAGGGCTTTCAGTTTTTCTCCACCGAGTATCACTTGATCACTTGATATCCCATTATTCATCGATTCGCTCGAGCGGGTGCCAGCAACATCTCCATTCATCCCTGTCACGTGCTAATGTAGCCCAATGGCAAGGAACATGAAGAGCCTCAAATCGATTGTTCAGGGTCTTGACGAAGAAATCTGACCATCTCACAGGTCTCTGATATATTGGAAACCCTGGCCCTGACCCTGTTACCTCTCATCCATTACCTTTCCTTACTTCCCCTCTCAATTTCTTCTTTTCAACCTCATTTCTACAATGTAGGAGCCAATGTAATCTACATGCCTCCCCTTTGCAAAGCCACATTCTCTTCTATTACATCTGGCGATTTTTTAATGCTATAATAGAAATAACTCACTTTCCAAAACATTTATGCACCTAATCAAAATATGTACAGCATGGATGGACATGGAGAATCATGCTGAGTGAAATGAATCAGAAGGAGAGGTACAGATGTGGAATTGTTGCACTCATTTGTGGGCTAGAACAAAAACATTGTATGAGATTAATATCCAAGGATAGTAGAAACAAGGGCCAGGAGGATCGGTCCACAGTTGGAAGTCTTCCTCAAGAGCTGGAGGAGAAGTCTGTTGGGACAGAGAAGGGACCACTATGACAATGATAACTGGAAATGATCACTCTGGGTAATAATTGCGTGCTGAAAGTAGGTAAAGGAACAAACATGATAATATCTTAGTATCTGTACTGCAAACCATAATGTCTAGAAGGGGGAGGGGAGGGGAGGGCAGAGAGAGAGAGAGAGAGAGAGAGGAGTGGGAGAGAGAGAAGAAAAGTGTCTGCCATAGAGACAGGCTTGAGAGCAGGGAGGTGACGTGAGGGAAACTGGGTACATTGCTGTAGGAAATGTACACTGGTGGAGGGATGGGGGTTGGAACATTGTATGACTGAAACCTGATCATGCACAGCTTTGTAACTGTGTCTCCCAGTGATTCACTCACTGTTACTGTCCTCCTGTTGTTCATCGATTTGCTCAAGTGGGCCCAGCAATGTCTCCATTTTGAGACTTGTTGTTACTGTGTTTGGCATATTGAATATGTCACAGGTAGCTTTGTCAGGCTTTGCTGTGTGGGAGAGATACTCTCGGCAGCTTGCTGGGCTCTCCGAGAGGGGCGGAGGAATCGAACCCGGCTTGGCTGGGCTGGCTGTGCGCAAGGCAAACGCCCTACCGCTGAAATGAGGTTGAAAAAAAGACATTGAGAGGGGAAGTAAGAAAAGGTAATGGATGAGAGGTAACAGGGTCAGGGCCAGGGTTTCCAAATATATCAGAGAGGGATATGTTTATATTTAAACCACAGAACCCACAAACTTGAATGATAATCCAGCTGATCAAGTATTTATAGTGAGGTACCCATTTCACTGTATTTTTTAAACTCTATCTACTATTTTCTTCTAGCCCATTGAGTCTCATTTCATAAATCTTCTGTGAATCTTATATGCCTTCCTTTATATGTATACTCATTCGTTGGTCTAGCTACTTTCATTGTTCTGACTTTGGTATTTTTTTTTAATTCTAATTATGATATGTCTTGGAGTGCTCTTATCTGCATTTATCTTGGATGGGAACCTTCAGGCATCTTGAATCTGAGTCATGAATTAATCAACTATGAGAAAGTTTCCTTTATGAGTTCTTTGACAAGTGGTTCTTCATCTAATTTGCCTCCCTATTCCTGAGGAATTTAAATAATTTTTATATCGTTTCTTTTGAACTCATCCCACAGACTTTTTCACATCTATTGTTTTCTAAAGACTTCCTGCAACTAATCTTGGAGTTCACTGATTTTTTTCCTCAGCTGCTCTTATTCTGACACCAAGGTCTTCCAATGTGGTTTTTTAGTTTCACCTGCCACATTCTTAAAAATATGGAATACTTCACACATTTGATCATTTCTGTGCAGGGGTAATGCTTATCTGCTCTCTATTGTTCCAAATTTAGCATATGTGCTACTGAAGTGAATGTGATTCATCTGGTTTTATAAATGATGCAAGTTTCCAAGATGTGCCTCCCCCCCCACACACACAAAAAAGAAAGAAAACAAATTAAAGAGGAAGTGTGGACAGAATAATTTATTTCATAAATATGTGGAGATAATTGGATAACCATTTGAGGACTAAAAATATTTATGATTAGTAGGTTAAAGTCCAATGTTCAAAACAAAATGAAACCAGAAAAGTAAAAGAAGGTACCATAGATACATTACTATATAAAATCAGGTTATGAAACATCTGTGCACCTTTCTAGGCATAATACTATTGACAAAAATTGTGAGGGAAAAATACATTTGATAAGCTAATCTTTAAAAGCACACAAAGTTAAAACAAATTCCAAACTGGAATTATGCTACAATATGTAACAAAAGGGTAAGATCTTTTTAAAGCCACAAAGAGATAAATAACGCTTTCATCTAGCAAATTTGTGAAGGTAGTTTGCAATATTTTTAGTAAATGTAGATTAAGACACAGAAAAATAACACTCTCATACAATGAAACTGCAAATGATAGAATATTTCTGAAGGGCAATTCAGTAATTTACATAAAATCTGTTTAAATAATCATGGCCGAATAGCTAAAGCAATTCTTGGGAAAAAGAAAATGGGAGGAATCAACCTCCCGAACTTCAAACTGTACTACAAAGCAGTAATAATTAAAACAGCATGGTACTGGAACAAAGGCAGAACTGCAGACCAATGGAACAGGGTTGAATACACTGACATCTTTCCTCAATCATATGCTCATCTAATCTTTGATAAAGGTGCAAGTAATGTGAAGTGGAGTAAGGAAAGCCTCTTTAATAAATTGTGTTGGCATCACTGGACGGCTACATGCAAAAAAATAGGCTCAGAACTCTGCCTAACACCATGTACAAAAGTAAGATCAAAATGGATTAAAGACCTCAACATCAGACCAGAAACCATAAGGTACATTGAAGATAAAGTTGGCAAAACCCTCCATGACATTGAAGCTAATGGTATCTTCAAAGATGCCACGCCACTGGCCGAGCAAGTGAAAACAGAGATAGATAAATGGGACTATCTTAAACTAAGAAGCTTCTGCACCTCCAAAGAAACAGTGACCAAAATACAAAGACAGTCTACAGAATGGGAAAGGATATTCACCGAATACACATCTGACAAGGGGTTGATATCCAGGATATACAAAATACTGGTTAAACTCCACAAGAAGAAAACATCCAACCCCATCCAAAAATGGGGTAATGAAATGAACAGAAACTTTCTCAAAGAAGAAATCCGAATGGCAAAAAAGCACATGAGAAAATGCTCTACATCATTAATCATCAGGGAGATGCAGATCAAAACCACAATGAGATACCATCTCACACCTCAGAGACTGGCCCACATTCAAAAGAACAAAAGCAACCGATGCTGGCGTGGATGTGGCGAGAAAGGGACACTCCTTCACTGTTGGTGGGAATGTCCACTGGTTCAGCCCTTCTGGAAAACAGTATGGACGATTCTCAAAAAATTAGAAATTGAGCTCCCATTTGACCCAGCAATACCACTCCTGGGAATATATCCCAGAGAGGCAAAAATGTATAGTCGAAGTGACATCTGCACTTGTTTGTTCATTGCAGCCCTCTTTACAATAGCCAGAAACTGGAAGAAACCTGAATGCCCAAGAACAGATGACTGGTTAAAGAAACTTTGGTACATCTACACAATGGAGTACTATGTAGCTCTTAGAAAAGATGAAGTCATGAAATTTACATACAAGTGGTACAATATGGAAAGTATCATGCTAAGCGAAATGAGTCAGAAAGAGAGGGATAGACATAGAAAGATTGCATTCATCTGGGGGATATAAAGTAACAAAGTATGAGATTAATACCCAAGAATAGCTGAGATCAGCACCAGGAGGATTACTCCATAACTTAGAGGCCAGCCGGGTATCCTAGAGGAAAGGGCTATTCAGATAGAGAAGGGAGCACCAAATAAAGGATGTTTGGAGGATCCTCCCAGGAGGGGAGATGCATGTCGAAAGTAGACTATGGACTGAACATGTTTGCCACTCAATGCCTCTTTTGCAGACCACAACACCCAAAAGGAGAGAGAGAACACAGGGCATTGCCCTGCCACAGAGACGGGGGGAGGGGGGGATGGGGGTGGGAGGGATATTATCCATGGTGGTGGAAAATGGGCACTGGTGGAGGGATGGGTATCTGATCATTGTATAATTGAAACCAAAGCACAAAAAATTGTAAATCTACAACTTTAAAAAAAAATAAAATAAAATAAAGGGGGAAAAAAAAAATAAAAAATAAATAAATAAATAAATAAATAAATAATCATGGCCTTTGACCCAGTAATTTCAGTTTGGTGAGTTTATCCTTAGAATAAAAATTCTGTGGAAAGATTTAATTATATTTCTATTCATCAAAAGTACTGCCTATACCTTTCAAAAATTGGAACAATTTAAATGTCAAGCAATAGGGGATTAATTAAATAGATTATGGCATATCCACATAACGAAACACTATGACACTGACAAAAATAATCTTAGCACTGATAGTTACACTTCATGTTCTCTGAGAACAAATTGTTTGCATAAACCTAATATTATCAGGAAAAAATTATACACTTAAAAAGTGTGTAGAGGTTTAGGTACTTGAAGAATGTTTCATTTTTTTTTTTGGTAAGTGGAAATATGAATACTTCCTTGACTTGCATTCATTTTTAAATTTTCCAGTAATTAATATGTATCGCTTTTTAATAAAAATGAGTTATTTTTAAGGAAAGAAACATAGAATGCATCTCATATGCCTTCAAGTGCTAATAATTATCAGAATTGAATTGGAAGGCACAGATAATGAGTCTTATATATATATATATATTCCCTAGAATCCAGAATAATTGCCATATATATGACATCATATATATTAATTCTATAATTGTCATACAAATATATGTAATATCATATATATATACATATATGACAATGATTCTGGACTCTAGGGAATAGTTAAATCATTAGAATGCTTTCACAAGCTAAAAGTATCTTCAAGGATGAAACACCACTGACCAAGCAAGTGGAAACAAACTTAAACAAAAGGGACTACATCAAACTAAGAAGCTTCTGAACCTCAAAAGAAACAGTGACCAAAATACAGAGAGAGCCCACGGAATGGGAAAGAATATTTACCCAATACCAATCTGATGAGGGATTAATATCCAGAATACACAAGACACTAGTAGAATTATGTAAGAAAAAACCTCCAACCCCATCACAAAATGGGGAGAAGAAATAAACAGAAGCTTCCTCAAAAAACAAATGCAAATGGGCAAAAGGCACATGAAAAAATGCTCCACATCACTAATCCTCTGGGAGATGCAAATCAAAACAACAATGAGATATCATCTCACACCACAGAGAGCAGCACACATTCAAAAGAAAAAAAGCAACCAGTGCTGGTATGGATGTGAGAGAAAAGGGACGCTCTTTCACTGTTGGTGGAATGCTGACTGGTCCAGCCTTTCTGGAAAACAATATGGACATTCCTTCAAAAACTAGAAATTGAGCTTACATATGACCCAGCAATACCACTTCTGGGAATATATCCTGAGGGTTCAAAAAACCACATTAGAAATGAACATCTGCACCTATATGTTCATTGCAGCACTGTTCACAATAGCCAGAATCTGGAAACAACCCAAGTGCACCAGAACAGACGACTGGTTAAAGAAACTTTCGTACATCTACACAATGGAGTACTATGCAGCTGCTAGGAGAGATGAAGTCATGAACTTTGCTTATAAATGGATAGACATGGAGAGTATCATGCTAAGTGAAATGAGTCAGAAAGAGAGGGACAGACACAGAAGGACTGCGCTCATTTGTGGAATGTAAAATAACGTAATATGAGACTGATACCCAAGGACAGTATACACAAGGGCCAGGAATATTGCCCCATAGTTGGAAGCCTGCCTGATGAGCTGGGAGTGAAGACAGCTGGAATTAGAGAAGGGATCACGAAGACAATGGTGGTTGGAGGCATTGTTTGGGATGGGAGGTGTGTGCTGAAAGTAGATAAAGGACCAAACATGGTAACACTCTCAGCAACTATATTGCAAACCATAATGTCCAAAAGTAGAGAGAGAGTATGGGGGAAATTATCTGCCATGGAGGCTGGGGGAGGGTTGTTGGAAGGGGGGGATATACTGGTGACATTGGTGTGGTGAAGAATGTGCACTGGTGGAGGGATGGGTATTTGATCATTGTATGACTGAAACTCAAACATGAAAGCTTATAACTCTCACAGTTACAATAATTTAAAAAAATTATTTTAAAAAAGAATGCACGGGGGCTGGAGAGATAGCACAGCGGGTAGGGCATTTGCCTTGCACGCGCCTGACCTGGGTTTGATTCCCAGCATCCCATATGGTCCCCTGAACACCTCCAGGGGTGACTCCTGAGTGCAGAACCAGAAGTAACTCCTGTGTGTCACTGGGTGTGACCCCAAAATAAATAAATAAATAAATAAAAATTTTTAAAAAAAGGAATGGATTCCCATTGAATTTGCTAAGTACACCATAAACAATGACCACATCAAGTCTAGAATTCCCATTTTTCACATTTACCTGAAAATTAGCAAAGCTTTTAAAAATTAAGTATTAGGGGCTGGAGCAATAGCACAGTGGGTAGGGCGTTTGCCTTGCATGCGGCTGACCTAGGTTCGATTCCCAGCATCCCATATGGTTCCCTGAGCACTGCCAGGGGTAATTCCTGAGCACAGAGCCAGGAGTAGCCCCTGTGCATTGCCGGGTGCGACCCAAAAAGCAAAAAATAAATAAAATAAAAAAATAAGTGTTATTTCATAAATGATATAGTATATATGTAAACATTTTTTCCTAACTCCTATTAGTAAAAAAAACTTTTTTTGTGTTTTGAGTCTGAATGTGCATTCATATCCTGACTACCTCCTGATTTCCCAACTTAACTTGCT